AGAGATGGAATTTAAGCAATAACACCAAACCGTATTTTTATCTAAAGCCTTCCATTCGATTGGGAAACATCTGTTAAAATTTCATTACATCATAAAATAAATTTACAGCATAAAAATAAACATTTTTTTCTTTTATGAGGAAGAAAATGTTTGCATAGATAAAAACAGAAAACTACAAATGACACTACGCATTAAACTTTCAATACTTTAAGTCTCTCCACCCTAAACACCTCAAAGAAAACCTTCCCTATTCACAAGCACTTAGAGGCAGAAGGATATGTTCTAACAATGAATAACTAAGTAAATACGCTAAAAATCAAGAGCATCAATTCACAATACGTGGCTATAAACAACACCTAATCAGGGAACAAATAAATAAAGCAATTTCCATATCTAGAGAAGACACCCTAATGTACAAGATTAAAAATAAATCCAGCCATATCCCTCTAGTAACCACTTTTCAACCCCACTCTGCCTCCACTATCCCAGATAATCAAAAGTCGCTGGGAAATACTACATCTCAAACCAGACCTAAAAAAATTGCTTGAAGGACCTGGCTTTCTAGCATATCGTAGAGCTAAGAACTTAATGGAAATTATACTTAGTAACCACATGTCAGAGGATAAGGTAATCCGTAATAAATCAAAAACAAAAACAACAGGTTTTTCCCAACCATGTAACAACAAAAGGGGCCGTAACCACATTAGACGCACCAATTCCTTCACTAGCTCAGTCACTAAATCTACTTTCAAAATCTACCACAACTCTAACTGTAGAAGTCATACCATAATTTACTTATTAGAATGCACACTATGCCAGAAACATTATGTGGGAAAATCTGAATGGCCCACTACAGAATTAATAATTGTTGCAATCGAATTAAATCGGCTACCGACGAAAGATTATTGGCTGTAGAACATTTCCGCCTAGAAAAACACGATTTTAAACGCTATGCCAAATTCACTATAATTGAGAAAATAGAAAAGTTCAGAGCAGATAACATTAGAAAAATTTTAGAATACTATGAAGATAAATGAATTCTGAACCTCAAAACACTCCATCCAGATGGGCTTAATCACAAATTATAGATAGAATTAATATATAACCCCGCAAATCAGGCCCTACCCAAATTTCTCACACACACAAGACAGACATGCTTGCTGATGTGTTGAGGCCTCACACTTATACACACACCCATACTAATATACACACATCATAGTCACTCACTCCCGGAAGAACTAAATGATAACACACACTTAACACACATACATCTCCTTTCTAGGAATCAATAAAACTCTCAAAATGATCAAAGGAATTCAGAGCATCATGAATCTATCCAGCCTCTTTCTTAAATAACAACTTAAAAGAGACTGTTTGACCAACACAAGGACTGACCAAAGTTTATGATAAAAACAAAAAACAAACAAAAAAAATTAAACCTACAGATAAATTTCATTTTCTTTATCAAGTTATTAATTCCTGTAGTTCAATAAAAAGCAGAATTTTTTTCTCCCGTTGATGTCCAAGCTGACCGAAAATAGTCAAGGAATCTAACTGAAATAAAAAAAAAAAAACATTCATATACAACCCAGTGTGTCTGAAAATTTTAATTTTTTAAGATTATTTTATTGTACAAAATATATATATATATATATATATATATATATATATATATATAATTATTTATTTAAAAATTATAACATAAATATGTTATAAAATCACAACAAAAATAGCCATTTTGTTTCAAAACCTCCGGTGTCTTATCAAGTGATGGTGTTTTCTTTCGTGACTTTTTTTCGGTCGTTTATTCGGGTCTTTCTTTCCTTCTTCTTAGAAGATTAATGAAGGAAGATAACGTGGAAAACACGAGTAATTTTTAACAAAACAAGGTAAAGAATTTATTTACGAATGTACACGCTTGAAGTTGCGCCAGTAGCTCTTTTCAAGGAAACAAATAAGAAAAATTTGAAAGATCCTAGTCTTAACAAATTGTCATGAAGAAGAAATGTTCATACAACAGATTAAATGATCTGATACGAAAAATTATTCAAAGATGTTTAAAATATATTGAGTCTCTCTTTAGTGCTTTTGTGATATCAACGAACACCCGTTGTCACTTTTGTAATACCAACGAGTACTCGTTGTCACTTTCGTAATGGTCGTTTTAGTAAAGACTTTGTAATCGCAGATACAACTATAGTAACGCCGTTGAACAATACTGGTGTCAGACGCTTTCGAACAATACTCGCACTAATCGTACTTGCTCGATAATACTCGCTCGAATAGTAACCACCGAATAGTGCTCCGAATAGTAATCCGTATAGTGATCAGTATAGAGAATTAGTATAGTGAATAGTTTAGAGATAGAGGATAGTGTAGAAAGAGTGATCCGTATAATAATAGAGGACATAGTAGAATGGGTGATCCGTCAGATGCCACGCTAATTCCCATATATACATTTCCTTTACCATCACGTGATCTACTTATTCAAAATGGAATCGCCCATGTTTGCTCACTGGCGATCTATATTGTAACTCAGTGTCGGCAGTGACAATTTATTTCTATATAACAAATGCATTTTCCTTTATTTTGATTTAACTTTGGTTTCGTTTTCTTTACTGTCTCTCTTTCCTTCCGTAGTGTCCCTCTTTTTTCTTTTTTCTTTTCTCCTGTCACGAAATACAAATTTGCTGGTTTATTTTTAATTTCCTGTGTCTTTCTAACTGTAATTATGTGACGTTAATTTTTCAAATTCTTCTGTCGTTTCTGCCGCTGACTAAAATAACAAGGACATGCACTCTATTTATAATAACAATAATAATGTCGATATTGATTGTAATACTAATGATAATGTCCGTCTAGAGTCTTTTATGAATTTAACAACCTGGCAAAGCACGTGTATAGTCGATTAGTTTTTTTGAATTTAATAACCAGACTAATTTCTTTTTACATTTAATTTATGCAATTCAGTTTTTGCCTCAGGCATTTTTTAAAATTTTTTTCCTTATTGTTTTTAGAGAATATTAATTACGTAAAATTATTCGTCATTTTTTACCCTCGGTCGGTTTCTTTGTACGTTGGTTTGTGTGCTTCTCCTTCACTTCTACTGATTGTTAAACTCTTTGGGTATTTATAAAAGTGATATGTGAATACAAATTAAACGTTTTATTTGTTTACTTCTTTTAACATCTCTTTGGGAAATTGCCTTTTAGACTAAAATAACCGGTTGTTGACATTCACAAGAAGATATAAATTAAGAACAGTTTACATTCAATATTACGAACCCATTGCTGGATGATTCGTTCATTGTCATAAACAACTGTACATTATAAAAACTGAATGAGAAATTTATTGACTTGAAATGAATATCTTTGAAATGACTTTTTAATCAACTATTTAGGATCGGCTGATTTTGATAAGAAATAAGTTGTTACTAACATTATCCGTGATTATGATAAACATCTAAGCAGGAAGTTGAGTTAAACATTTCTCTTGTTTAATTTAGATGGGAGAAGTTGCCCAGACCCATGTATTCCAATCTTGCAGCAACACTATCCTCATTGCAATAAGAGAGAAATCGCCGGTATAATATCAATACCAGTGTGACAGTGATTGCAGGGACTCCCCCCCCCGCAAAAAAAATTGTCCTTGGCCCATATGCACACGCATGTATATGGCACTCCCCACGTTAAAGCGTCCTTGCGTCACATCTTGCCTTCATGGGATCTGTAATTTTGATTTAAAAGAAAAATTATATTTTCAACACAATTTCCATATATACAACGAACGTCTAAAATATATAATGGCAACGGACTAATTACACGGTCCATTGGTCTCTATTTAATCTGTTGTTTGAAAAAAATTATTCTTTTATTGTATCTCACTATTAAAACTTTCTAACAATTGCCGTCATTTTTTACGGTAAGGTTACACTAGTAGTAATAGTAAAATCAGGATGACTGCATTACTAACATCATAGAATACTGAGCTGAGTGCCGTACTAGTGAGGATACTTGCTGTCACTTGATCTCCGATGAAATCTATTAGATCGCATTCGTTTAAAAAGTTCATGAGTAAAATAACAAAGTTGATAATGCTCGTAGTAACGCTAAAGATAATTAGGTGTAAAATTTAACGAAGAAGGATCTGTAATGTAATCGATCAGGACTTGTTATCTCGAATCTAGTCACTTTCTTACCGATGTGGTATGGCTTCTCTCTATCTTTTCTACAAATATTTTCATGGCAACTGATCTGGAAAGCTTTTTCCCTGGTGACCCGACTATGTGAATTTAAGCGGGCTACAAGATTGGCATCTAGGTTTCACCCTTTTAGCGTTGAAATAGATAAATGCAGCCGACACTTCTACTCCAACAGTTTCTTTTCTCGCACTTCACGTCTGCGGAACTCCAAACCGTTTACTTGCTTCCATGATAAATAAAATCTTCAAAAATTTTAGATGCGGCGTTTATCGCAATCTTCTTGAATCCCATTCATCTTTTTGTCCCTTTTTTTTTCATTTTTGTCCTATACTCAGTCTTCTCTTTCACTTTAATTCCCTGTAACCCCTGCTTACTAGTAACATTCCCACCTTGCTTGTGGTGAAATGATTAAAAAAGAAACTGGGAAAACGGCAGGCAAAAGCATCGGTGTTTGGATTTCGCGAGAAAAAGACTGGCTGGTATCTGTTTAGAATCTTTTATAGTCGTTAAGCGGATCCCAGGGCAAGCTAAGTGCATCAACAACTGAAACTAACAACAATATTAACAACAATTAAAAAATATATACCTTTTGTGCTGATTACTGGTTGACTGGGTGCACCGTATTTGTGACCCTATGTAATAAGCTTAGGAAACAGCTATATAAACACGATTTGCGAGAGAAACAACAGATAGTAAAAAGAAAAACATGTCAGTAAAAGATGATCCACACGACTTACTGACCGGGAAATTGCTGGATATTCTTAGTTACGGAAATCAGAAACAGAAGTCATTTGATATTTTATGAAAGAAAGAAAAATTCTCGAAAGAAAGAGTGAAAGAAAGACAAAAGAAAGAAATAATGAGCAGCATGAGGAATATAATTGAGAAAGAAAAAAAGAATGAAAGAAAGATTCTTGAGAAAAAGAAAAAAAGACAAAAATTTCCTCTAGGTCAAATGAAAAAAGAAAATGGGGAATAAACAGAGAAATATACTTCATATATATATATATATATATATATATATATATATATATATATAGAGAGAGAGAGAGAGAGAGAGACAGAGACAGAGACAGAGACAGAGAGACAGAGAGAGATATAAAAGTCGGAGAGGAAGAAAGGAAAATTAGTGAGAGCAAAAGCAATAAAAACAAAGAAAAAGAGAATTATATCCGAGCGAGTATGAGATAGATAGATAGATAGATAGATAGATAGATAGATAGATAATGAACAGAATGCGATAGATAGATCGAGAGAGAGGGGTAGAGGGGGGAGATGAACAGACGGATATAAATAAATATGAACAGATAGAGATAGATGAAAAAACAGATCGATAGATAGATAATAAACAGAATGAGATAGATAGATAGATAGATAGAGAGAGAGAGAGATATGAACAAACGGATATGAATAAATATGAACAGATAGATAGATATATATAGATGAAAAGGAAGATAGATAGATAGATAGATAGAGAGAGAGAGAGAGAGAGAGAGATGAGTCTAGGCCAGGTTGAAAGAAAGCAAAATGGAAATAGAATACATATTCCAGAGACAGACAGCAGCCCGAGAGAAGAAAAGAGAAGAATTGTTTACGTCAAGCCTTTCGTCACGCAAGTCTCTTGCGGCCTTCGCCCGAAAAGAAACATGGCAGCGCCTCACGAGCAGCTGAGTATTGTCGGAACTGACAAACGAATCTGTAGATCACATGACAAGAGCACGCGCCAAGTTAACATGCCCGAAAAGCAAAAATAGACACGCATACAGGCACTTATGCACTTAACCACAATAATATAATATAAACACACTTCTGCCATATGCACACATAGAAGGGGCACCTCGGGGTGGTGTAATGGTTAGCAAGCTTCTCTCGCTAGAACAATTACGACTGAGTAGTGAGTTCGGTCCTCACTGAGTGTCCCATATTTTCGGCCTTGTGCCACATCTGATCTACGCTTGGAAAATCACTATGCACACATTAAAGAACAGACTGTTCTCCACATACGCGTAGAACCATATTGAACAAACATACACACTATCATATACTGATGATCTTTTAAAGCATGAAACTGCCAGTCGATAAGCAATTTTGGTTTCTAGGAATATCTACAAACGCTCTATCTATGATACTGAGCATTCTTTTCCCATAAATATAGCAAAAGAGGGAAAGAAAGACAAGGGAAAGCAGCGCGTGACATTCCTGGCGGGCTTGAGCAGGTGGGTGACAGAACGTGATCTAGGGGAGATAGCAGAGAGAAGAAACTTGTTGAGAGCTGCAAGTGATAGAGGGGTGGAGAGCCATGATTGCTTATGTCCTGAAAGGACATGGCACATAAAAAGAAAATATATATATATATATATATATATATATATATATATAGTATTATATATAATAAATTCCAATAACCAACAAATACTATTCTTAAAAAAAGTGGAATAAATTCAATAACCAACAAATAATGTTATTCTTAAACATTGAACTCAATACAAGAAGAGCAAACTGTGAAATAAAATCATTTTTGTTCGAAATTTTTATGTTATAATTTTCGATTAAATGATTATATATATAATATATATATATATATATATATATATATATATATATAAGAAAGAACTTGGTAATCCGTATCCCTCCTAAACTCTAACATATCTCTTTAACTACTCCTTTTACACTCTCTGTTAAATAGCAATTTCATTTTTGGAAGTGCTATCTGATGATCCGACGTCCTTTAAAAGGGCTCTGGAGATAAATTATCATAATGGTACATTAAAGTGGTCTGTTTTTCTTTATTATATATATATATATATATATATATATATATATATATATATGTTAAAAATATACGTATATATGTATTAATCATTTCATCTCAAGATTATTAGATCGGTGACTGCTTGGGAATACCAACTGTTGAAATCCTGGATGTGAGGGTGGTGTAATGGATAATGGCTCGTAATTGTTAATTGGAGAGCCGAGTTCCAATTCTCGTTGGTTTCGTTTCCTCGTAAATACCCTGGGATAAATTAACTCTTTTTCTACCCAAGATATTGGTTAATTAGTAAGATTAATTAGTAAGATTTGTATCAATAAACCATTATTATCTCCCCGAAATTCTCACAATGCAAAACTATTTTCTCGCTTTAAATAAGCTGCAAAGAGCAGATAAGCCCTAGAAAAAGGAATCAATCAATTAACTAAGCAAGGCGATAATGCCACTAAGACGCAACGGCTAACAGGAGGTGGGTGAGATTTTCGGAGAAGGGACCGGAACCCTAATTTTAAACAGGAAACACGCGATAAACAGAAATACATTGATCGATCTTTTCGAAACATAATCTTAGATTTTATTGTTATTATTATTATTATTATTATTATTATTATTATTATTATTATTGTTGTTGTTGTTGTTTCTGTTGTTTTTATTATGTACTCGGGTGTATTTGGGCAGCAATTTTTAATTCCTGCAGGTTTTGGCTGAAGGTCAATAAAAGTGGTATTTTTTTTATGATTTATAAACATTACTATAGCTCGGACCATTTTTTCTGATTTCCAGGGAGAATTTGAACATACATTATCCAGTATATTCTGATCACTTTCGGCTTTCAAAAGCCAAATACCATGGAGATCCAGTTTTGTGTTGATAGGATTGTGTGTATGATTTCTGTTTCAAATGATCTTTTAAAGCGTGAAACTGCCAGTCGATAAGCAATGTTGGTTTCTAGGTTTATCTACAAACGCTCTATCTATGATACTGAGCATTCTTTCCCCATAAATATAGCAAAAGAGGGAAAGAGAGAAATGGATTTCATGAGTATCAAATTTGATGCTCATAAAATCCACTGGAAATTAAACTTATCGACCAAAACCTTGAAAACTAGCAAAGAAAACAGAAATCATACGAGAAATGTTTAGAAACAGAAATCATATGAGAAATATTTAGACAAACAAAATACTAAATATATATTTAACTGGGGTACTGTATAATAGAAAAAAAAAACAATACATTTCCTAACAATATTTCTTTGTGACAATATGATCAAGAAAATGCAAACATAGCATCTTTTATCGAGACATTAATCGCAACACGAAAGTTTTATAATACATTAGCAGACGACCAGTTAAAATGGCTGATGCTAATTCTTCTCTTAGTATTTATCGATCCACCCACGAGGATTGAATGTGGCACAAGGCCGGTTTAATGTGGGTATCACCGAGCCCGTAGACTCGGCCAAAGAATATAGCCTTTGAACCCGCCTTGACGGGTTCAGGCCCTGTCTACCTCCCCGGACGAAACCTTGCCCTTCGGCAAAGCTTCGTCCGGGTTCCTCTCTGCTAACGCAGAGAGTTCGACAGACGTCGCAACCAGTCAAAGACTGTATCACGACTCATCTAGACTCGGAGGTCTTACCCTGTCTGTTTATCTGTCTTCCTTCTTCTCTTCTAATTCTTCTCTTATGTTCCATGTCCCTTTGGGACGTTGAAGATCATGACGTTCTGCATATCTCTATCCCTTGTAGCTGTAAGCAATGTTTGACACTTTATAATTCCACGTTGTTCTTTCCCTACAATCCATGACCACAAACTAGTTAAGTTAATCGCTTTTTCCTTCTGCCCCTCTTTCCCTCATTATGTCTTGTGAGTATTCAATCCTCCAAGCCCGCTTTCCTCACGTATCCTAGAAATTTCAAATCTGTCTGATTTCAAATAGAAGCATTCTTTCAGTTCCAATTTTCTCTAAATCCTCCTTGCCGTTTAGTTCATGTATTCATAGCATCAGTCTCTAGAACGATGACTCTGTCGCTTTGGGTATTTGTGCTTTCTTTTTTTAATCATTTCATCCGAAGCAAGACAATAAAGCCACTAAGACGCAAGGGGTTATTGAGTGTTAGAGAATATAAACTTTCAACTTCATGTCAGCGGAAAAGGTTAGTCCATGTATGCACGATGAGTCACTCTTCTGGAGGTTAGCATCAGCCGTGCTGATGGAAGATAAACAGATTATGTGCTAATATGATCATTTAAATAATCATGATTCAAAGGGGAGATTCCTGGAAATTCCTGGATTTAAAACAAAGCTTTCATATGTACATTTATACTTTTCTTTCTTTTTTTCGAACTTTAACAACATTTTCACTTAGATTCTTTTACTTTCATTACGTCCTGAGTGCATCATCATGGTCTAAAGATCAGCAGGATGCACTTGTAAATCATCTGTAGAGAAGTTTTAGTACATAATAATAGGGCGCCTTGGCATAGGGCTATATTCAGTGAGCTAATCTAGTTTATCATTACTCATGAGTTCAATCCTCACTGAGTGCATGATATTTATGTGGCTTTGTACTAACACTAAACTAAACTTAGTAAATAACAACGGGCGCGTCAGAAGGGGCAATGGTTAGCGAACTAGTCTCTTTGATAATTACTATCGGGGATGTGAGTTCGATCCACAAAGGGTAACCTATACTTGTGGCATTGTGCGAAATTGACCTAAACTACGTAACATCTACACTTCTAAAACTATTCTTTATATTTGAATGATTTTATCAAATCAGCGGCACTTTTAATTTCGTTCTTTCTTTTTTTTTCTTTTTTTCTATCTTTTTCCTTTTCTTTATTTTTTCTTTTCTTTCTTTTATCTTTTCGTTCATTTTCTTTCTTTTCTTTTTCTTTTCTTTACATTTTTCTTTCTTTCCATCTAACACAAATTTATTATCTTCTACTTTTAATTCCATTCTTTTTTCTATCTTTTTCCTTTTTTCTTTCTTTATTTTCTTTTTCTTTTCTTTCTTTTATCTTTTCGTTCATCTTCTTTCTTTACTTTTTCTTTTCTTTCCTTCATTTTTCTTTCTTTCCTTCTAACACAAATTGTCCCTTTACGCTTCTTATTCGCTTAAGAAAACTCCAAAGTACTTTTCTTTCTCTCTCTTTCTCATTATGTTTCTTTCTTTCTCTCTTTCTTTCCCTCTCTGAATTCGATAGGAGAGAAAGAGAGTAGTATAAATACCTTCTATTCGGGTTGATACGAACCAAATCGAGTAGAAGACCACCTTGACCATCAGCGATTCGCAAGACTAAAACGTTGTACAGTACTTTCCGAATATTTTCAGTACGAACCCGCAAACTTGGTAAATAACACAATTCGAGTTTGGCACATTGCCGAAGACTTCACTGCTGATGGAAAGTTAAGCTGGAATTAATTCTTTATAAATTCCTGTAGAGCTACTTTTTACGAGATGGTTTCGTTCGACAGTAAACAGAAGCCGGGGTTCAAAGTTATTTGGATGCTAATGCAAACGGCGGTGCCGATTCCAATCCAGGGTATTTGATTACTCAGGCTAATCAAATAGTGGCGGGTTGAGCATCAGATGTTGTTGGAGGATGAATACTCCCGGAGTGGCCAGGGGTGATAAAGAGCATAGATGTGAGGTAAGGTTCACCAGAGTGACTGCAGTCCTATTATATTATTCTTTATTACAAGTAAAACGTTTCATAAACATTTTCTAAGACATTCAAGCGATTCTCGACCACACAGAAAACTTCTTCTTCTCCTCCTCCTTTTCCTCCTTCATCTTCTTCTTCTTCTCCCCCCCTTCTTCTTCTCCCCCCCCTTCTTCTCCTCCTCCTCCACTTCTTCTTCTTTTTCTGTGCACCGCGTCATTTCAGGTTAAGTGTCATAAGCGATCCACAACTTGCTATCTCGTGTGTCCCTTAGCAGTTTTTTCTGTCACTGCTAAGGCCCCCAATCCATTCTACCATCCATTCAAACAAGCTCGTCAGGTAAGTTGCTCGTCGCCTTCTCCTATCTCTCTTACCCTCAGTAGGCCCTGTGAGGGTTAAGTTTTCCCACCCCTCCTTCCTCGCTGTGTCCAAGGAATTTCAGTTGACTTTTCCTGATTTTGAGTATAAATATTCATTCTGTTGTCATTTTTCTCTAAGACTTCCTTGTTGCTTACTCCGTCCATGGAATTCTCAATACCGTTCAATAGATACACATTTCTATTGCTTCTAGTTGTTTTCCTTATTTTTAGGGAGATTGTCCAAAATTCACTGCCATATAAGAGAATGGATACGACATAGCAATCCAGCACTTCTTTGCTTCTAACGAAACGTCTCTGTTTCTTAGCAATTTGCTTGTTTTGGAATGCCGTTTTCGCTAGTCTAATGCGTGCTCGGATCTTGGGAGAGTTGTTTTAAAGACGAGATAATATATGATTTCAAAATGTCAGGATAAACTGTCTTTGTCACACACACACACTCTCTCTCTCTCTCTCTCTCTCTATCTCTCTCTCTTTCTATCTTCATATATCGATTTGCCCGCCCCTACACTCATTTCGTTCTCATTACACACACACACACACACACACACATATATATATATATATATATATTTAAAGATATGTTTATTGGTACAAAATTTTATCACTGCCATAAACAGACAAAAATTAGTTTTATTATTACCACTCATGATAATAAAAATTAAAAATGAAAAACGGGCTAGCTAACCGGTTTCATACCTCGCTCGACGGAGCTAAATAGAGTAAAATATATAAAAAAGAACAATGGACAAAGTGTATTGGGGGAGAGAAAAATATTTAAATGGTAATTAGTTGGAGGCCTATATAAAGTCCTTCTGTTTACATAGAGAAGGCTTTAATGATAAAATATAGATGGCCTCCAACACTTTTAGGTGGTAATTAGAGTGGTACCTGCTAAGGATGGTAAAAGCGTCACTACTAAAACTAACTGTACAATTATGGCTATTTATAAGGTGTTCTGCGATGGAAGACCCGTATGTATTGATCAAAATATCCGAGGTAGTGTACTTATGGTTTCGGATTTTCGCTGGAACGTGTTGTTTTATTCTAACATCCAGCCTTTGCGTCGTTCTCCCTATGTAGTCTGAACCGCAACTACATTTAAAAGAATAAATTAACGAACTATTATGATGTGGCGGGAGAACATCCTTACGCATAGACGGAAGGACAGGCCTGGCAGAGAAAACAACACGAGTGTTAGCGGCAAAGTAACAATGTCGAACTGTGGTAGAAACCTGCTTAGCACTGGAAGGCGTAGGTACACAGGACATCTTTTTACTATAGCAGGTTCAGCAATTTTATTCTTAATAATTGTGTGGCACCTTGCATTATTAGAAATATTCATAGAAATATGATTTAATTTTTTCTTACTCGGTTTACTAAACAGGTTGTTGATTTTTTTTTAAAACGGAAAATAATTGAGTTGAAAATAATTCACTAAGATTGTACTTAGACGATCCTAAGGGAAGAAGAGGAAGAAAAAAGAAAAAAGCAAAAGAGAGAGGTCGAGAAATACAAAAAAGCGGTCATTAACAAAAACACGTGTCAGAAAGATATCTTGGCCTGCGTGTGGCCGAATTTTTTAAAGACAATTGGAAGAATAGAATTAGAAATAATAAGAAGAAAGAAAGGGAAAAGACATGATATCAAAACGGGCCGCTTGATGAAAACCAGATATCGGTCAAAACATCTGACCTACTTTTGCGTAGAAAGACTCATTATCAATTTGGAGTAAGGGGAAATTTTAAGAGCGAAATCTTAATCAGAGAAAAGGTGTTTTTGGGTTGAGGGGAGTGACCGGTAGAACTATATACACATCCTGACCTATTAAGAATTAGAAACCTACGATAATAAAGTGGGAACATTTTCAATGTAGATAATTAAGATTTTCTGACTGTCGGGTCTGACAAAAAAAACAAGAGGTGAAAAAAAAACGATTGTCTCAGTTCACAGATAGCGCCAATATTCTTCCCTGAAGTCACATCTAATTAGCGGCGGGCTGGTTGACAGAGCCCAGGTGAGACAAAGCCAAGATTGTCATTTTTTCGTACGTGCAGAAAAGGCAAAATTGGATTTTGTTTT